TGCCCACAGGGTAGGGTCGGTCAGTCGGGCGCCCCTACGTGCCGCAGTCACGTAGCCACCCTGGCTCTTCCTTGGGTAGCTTTGCTGTGATGGACAGTCAAGTGAGGATGAGGAATCCCTTGGGATGAAATAGCCAGTAGCTGAGGACCTATGAAATCAGATCTGAAGGGGTTGGGTGCTTCCCTGTTGTATGTGTCAAGTTCTCAAATCCAAAATGCACAATGGCTGTGCAGTGTGATTGTTTTCTCTACCCATCTCCTTCCACAGTCGGGTGCTATTTTCCAGTCACCGTTCTTGCTGTGGAGAACTAAACTCTGGAGCTCACTTACTCCCAGTCCTGTTAACTCCAGAGTCTCTCGGTTCCTGTGGGCTTACTTTCAACTGTGAGCCATTTCAAAATATTCTGTTGCTCGGGAGATTTCTCTCCACGCTGGGCCCTGCAAGGCTGCTCTCTGTACTTCCAATCCCCTCACAGCTTTGATTGAGCATTGAGGTCAGTTGCTTGTCCTTTCACTGATCAATTCTGTAACATCTGCAGAACTTGAGGGTGGTTGGATCCCAAGTGGCACCCTGAGCTCTGGGAACACAGCCAAGGAATTTGGGGAGTTACGTCTATGCATACCTCAGGGTTCCCTTCACCATGTCTAAGTTAATGGACCCCGATTTAGCATTGGCTGGCCTGCCACACGGGTATGCTCTGCATTTCAAGCTCTCGGGGATTGATTTTTAATGTTCCCTTTCCATTCCATAAATGCAAATAGTGTTTTATATGTAAGGCATTTTGTGTTCTTTGTAAGTTAGTGTTACAAAAATTGATGGAACTCATGCTAGGTTCCCACGATTAAGCAAGAGGACATATTGTCAATCACCTTGAGGTTTTTTTTTTTTTCTTGCCCATATTTCCATCTTATAAGATTACATGTTTGAGGACCAGAAGATTTTTCTTTTATTCTGATTTTTGTGAAGTTGTGTTTCACCTTCATAATCTAAGGGAAAGAGAGCAATAAGCTTAAGTGCTAATTCTGGCTGCCATACATGACAACTAGCGTTTTCTGAGAAAGAATGATTTGGGAACCCAAGAGCTACTTGTAAGGCTTGCAAAGATTTTTCCACATTTGTTTTTAAAGTAACAGCACATACGTTTTTAAAAGAACTACCTGGGGCTGGAGAGATGGCTCCGAGGTTAAGAACACTGGCTTTTCTTCCAAAGGTCCTTAGTTCAATTCCCAGGAACCACATGTGTAGTTTATAACCACCTTCACTGAGATCTGGTGCCCTCTTCTGGTGCACAGGCACACATGCGGGCAGAATGCTTTATAGACAATAAATAAATAAATCTTTTTTTAAAATCTTAAAAAAAAATTATCTGACATATAGTCCATTCTCCTGGGATAGCTTGAGAGAAGCATAAATAAATACTTAGCTTTCAAACGTCTATCACAGTAATGTTTGGAATCTAGTGATCCCGGATTCAAGGGTAAATTTGAAAGCAGCTTCACTATGAGCAGTGTTTTATAATTGACCCTGCCTTTGAGCAATAACACTTGTTTAAAACCTGCCTCTTTTGTATCCATTTTTACATCATTTTTTAAAACAAAAATCAAAGGACAATTATGTACTTCTAATGAAACCATTGTTTTCATACAGCTAATACCCACAGTGACACTGAAAAGAGAAAGCAAAAGAAAAAAAAAGTTAAATATTTCAGGTGCCATGATGTGTCATTGGCTTTTCAAAATTTTATTGAACTCATCAAGGACATATAATCATTGCACAACTCTAGCTCAGAATGTCCAGCATGCCAACGGCTACCCGTTAACTTGAAAGCCGCCTTCTTAAGCTCACAGTTTGTACAAATTTCTCCAAGTGTTATGCTTATAGATTGTCCTATGTTCACCTCAGCACTGCTGAGATGTTATGCATGATAGAAATGTCTGAGCAGTTAAAATAGAAGTGAACCCAGGCCCTAAAGCCCTGATGACTGACAAGTCATTTCTTCTTGAGAGTTGAGTCTGTGGGAAAGAGAGAGCATTATCTACTTCAAATTACCCGTGGGCTGAAGGAATTTGACCCTTGTTTCACCAGAAGCAAAAACAAATTTTAAATTGTTACTACCGCTGCCCACCATTAGGTGGCAATCTAGTGCAGTACCTAAGATCATAGTCGAGAACATTCTGTTTGAATACTCCCAAGAAACACAAACACATACTGAATTTAGCCAAGTCAAGCCATCTAATCTGCCATAATACTTCATTCAATGCAGGGCTAACCAAAATTGTCCTTCCATCTCTCTAACCATTTATTTGTCATAGTAAATGATCTGATATCTTTCGATTCAGGGGAGGCTTTAACTAACATTCACAGCAAGGTTGAATTGTTACCTCTGTGGCTTCCACGTGACTAAGAGTCATAATAATTAGCTAATTTTCTGACTACACAGTGTGTAGGGTTAAAGAGAAGGCTCTTTACATGACAAAGAGGTGAAGTATCTGTTCCGTTATGAACTCCATGAAGGGGAAGGATTCATCTTCGTCTTGCCTCACTGATTTTAGGATGAGGGATCTGAGCTGCATGTCCAAACTCGATAGCAGGCAGTGCCCCCAACACACAAATTCACATCGATGAGTGACCATGAACACTACTATTCCTCTGGTGGCCGAGGACTCGTAAAATATATTAACGCTAATAGAACTGGAATTCCGCAACTTCCCTCAGAAACAGACCACTAGGAAACAGCTCACCCAAGGAGATTCTCCTCTGAAAAGGCTTTGAAGTGTTTTCAAAAGTCCCGATTGTATGAGATACACAACTGCTCAGTAATAAAAGTTAGGAATATACTAGAGCCTGAGAATGTGAGTACTATGGGGAGAGTGATGATTAAGGAAGAAAGGGGAGAGGCAAGGTTTGGAGGCTGTGAAGCAAGGGAAAGGACATATTTTGAAAGATGATTAAAAGACAGGAAATTGCTGGCGCACACAGCCGGGAATTAAGTTGAGCCCCACACTGAGAGCGACAGCCCAGCTTCCTAACTGTTAAGGAGACAATTTATTTAAATCATTTAGGAGCCTAGAGAATCAAAGGTACTGATCAAGTAAGATTCCAATGATAGTACTAAATAATGGGTTATAGCCTTCAATTATGGGTTGGTTTAGGTTAACGAGCAGGTTGATTTAATGTGCTATTCAATTTTTACCTTAAAAAGGAATTAGACAAGAATTATGACTTACAGTTGCTTCTTCATATATTTAAGTTGATTAATAATTTTTGAATTAAAAATCTCAAAAATGAATAGAGTATGGTTTGATCGTTATCATCAGCATTATTATTATTATTATTATTATTATTATTATTATTATTATTATTAT